AACTAAAGAAAGTACGGAAAATACATTAAAATTTCAGAAATTTATCAAAAGATCGAACAATCCATTTTCTTTTATTGTTGCAAACATTATTATAATGCCTACGATAGAAACATTGAATTTGATAGCCGAACAACTAAATATCTACATTGGTATATTTTTGTTATTTATCGGTGATGTATCTGGTCTATTTAATATCATTCTTTTTCGACAAAAAGCATTTCTTAAATCTTCATGTTCATTTTATCTCTCATTAGCATCCGTCGCTGATTTATTTTTATTAAATATTGTTTTATCAACGCGTATTTTACAATATGGTTTTCAAATAAATTTAATGTCCGGTTCTATTATTATATGCAAAGTGAGATATTATATATCTGACGTCTCATGTCTATGTTCACTGACATTTTTTATATTAGCCTCAACGGATCGTTATATGTCAACATGTCATCAAGCAAAACAACGACAGCGATTTCATTTTAGTACTCATAGAAAAGTAGTTCTTTTAATAATTAGTATTACAACATTTTGGTTATTAGCTGTGTCCCATCGTCTAGTTTACTACGATATTTATAAGACAAGTAATACAACACAAACGTGTATGTCTCAACCAGGTATTTATACCTACTATGATACATATTTTGAAGCTCTGTTTGTCGGTCTTTTACCACCTATATTCATATGCATATTTGGTTTAATAATCTTACATAATATTAAATGTGTTATTCGACGACAAATCGGACCTGCAGATCAAAATAATACAAGACTAAGTCGTATTCAATATATTGATCAACAATTAACATTTATGTTATTGTTACAAACTGTTATTGCAATGATATCATTTATACCTTATTCTATACAATTATTGTATTCTCTAATAACAGAACAACAGTACAAATCAGCAGAACGATTGGCTTGGGAGAACTTGATCATTCATATCATTCGATTATTATCGTATTCGTATTACTGTTTTAGTTTTTATGTTTATTTAAAATCAAGTGAAACGTTTAGAAAACAGTTTATACAAATATTTAAATCATCCGTAAAGGAAAACTTTGAATTGAAAACAATAATACATCC